TAGCTCTTTTAAGTCTACAGTATATTTTCAAACGTCTGCTTCCCAGTGAGCAGTTTTCTTGGAACCAGCCAAACAAGATCCCTTCCGGCTTGATATATTTACACTTACTGGGGAGCTGGGGATCTGTGCTCAATTCTATTCATTAGCACCCATATAAAATTTTGTGAAGGACCGTGGAGAACTGAAATTAATTTGCACACCTATTATCTTCAAAAATGGCTTTGGAAATATGGAGATATGGGCTCTTTGCATTCAGCATTTCTTTGGGCGTGCTTTCATGGGGACTGATTTCTCGCTGAACATTCATTCTGTTCCACTTTGTGCACTGAGGCTTCTCTGTCTTAAAAAAAAAAAATCTCAAAGACCACAGAGAAAAAGGGGCAAATGCGATTGGGAAGCCTTTTTCTTGGTTGTGGCGTGACACTTAATTTTCTCTCCCTCTCTCACTTCCAAGGCAATTAGCTTTGAAGCTTCTCCGAAAGGGTTCTTGCCCAAGTCGATAGCTAGCATGGCAAATATGAATTTAAGCAGGTCCATTGGGCGACAGATGATAAATATATCAAATGAGGTTACTGTGAAAGAGACGAACCTAAAAGAATAAAGAAAAAATAATTATGTATGCTAGGTCTGCTGGGTGCCTTCACTTCCTCTCATCTGGGCAGCGCTCCTGCTTCTCTGCAAGAAGGTCCTGGGTTCGAATCCCGGTCGGAACAGGACTTTTCTCAGTTGAACTTGCATGTTCTCCCCGTGTCTGCAGTAAGTGTCTTCTAAAATCATGCACAATAGGTTTGAATGTAATGAGTGAGTGAATGGATGGTGTTTGGTCGGAGGTTTTGATACTCCGGTGTGTTCGACGTCTCGCTTCTGTCATCACTGTGTGTGGAGTGACTGGAACAATTTCTGAACTTGGAACATTGTAAAGCGCTTTGGGTGACCTTCGTCTGTGGCTTATTTAAATACACATTAATTACTTACTTACTTCAATGGTTGGATTTAAATTAAATGCCAGCCAAAACCCATTGCAGTCTAGTTGCCTTTGCAAACAAATACACTTTTTCATTCTTGCGTGATTCACATATAGTGTTTTTCTTGGTATAACTAATCCAACATTGAGATGGCAACTCTCCTCCATTGTAAAGCTTTGCAGTTTCTTTCAAAGCTTAAATATTTTTGAACGACTTACAAAGAAGGCGTGAGTCTCTTAGCCTCCCGTTCAGTGATGGTGCCCGCTGTGCCTTCACTGCGCTCAGCTCTCTGCTCTTCGGGCTGTTCAGACAAAAAACTTCACCTTTCACATCCACATCTCCACAACTGCTTTCTGAAAACACATTATATTCTTGGCTTTCACAAAAGATTTAACAACAAAGAATGCCTGTTGGTAAATTTAAGAGCTGCCTTTAGATGATGCAGACCTTTATCTTCTCCATGGCAACTACCTTTCAGATGTCAGCTTCAGGATTCATGAACCAGACTGACCCCGAACCGTCAATTTGTCTGATTTCATATTCTGTGATGTGCCGTAAATCGACAGACGCTCAACTCGACTTGCTATGCCTCAAACTGGCGAAAGAATGAGGGAGGTTTGCAAATGTTTTCATCAAATGGAATAACTTTGAGGGCGTGAACAAGGGATGCATTTTGTTAAGGTTAAGATTTTTGCAAGACTAAAACAGTGGCGGAGAGGAGATGGAAAGGTTAAGAAGGCGTTTGAGTGTGTTGCTGCAGTAGTAATGTGGGAGTAACATGTAGTAAGAATTTCTTTCAAATGTTGGGCAGAAGACAAAAAAAAAACTATATACAAAATAAAAACATGACGCAAAAATAAACAGAGATAAACAGTTCATTCAACACAACACACACACTTGACACAACACACACACTTGACACAAGCACAACACAGACCCAAACACTCTCTGACCCCGCACCTCCCTCCCAGTCCTCACTCCTCCACAAACTTCTTCAGAACTTCCTTCTTGAGCAGCTTTTTAAACTGTAACATTTGAACGTGTTTTGAAGTAAAAAGATTGATGGTGTGTGTGAGAGTGTTATGGTAAATTATAGCAATCGTCAGTCACACGGTTGTAAGTAGAGGCGAGCTTCTTCTTGGAACTGAGCTGGTTCTGTTTCAGCTGCCTCCACATTCACGCCGCTCTGGAGAGGTGTTCCGAGCATGAGACCCCAGGAAATATCCCGGACACACTCAAGGGATTATTATGGCGCTATCTCTGGGAAGGGCTCTGGAAGGGTGGAAGGGGCAACTGTGTGTGGACAGGATGCAAAAGTACATGGATTGTCTGTGTTGTGTATTCATAAGAATGTGTATTACCATGTTTTGAATACATACTTTTGCATCTATTTTTGACTATTTTTAAACTGGTTTGCACCACTTACCAAAGCAAATGCCTAGTTTGTGACTTCCTGCTAATTACAATGGTGTCAAGAAGTGGACTTTTTGTTGATTGACTTTGATATAGATTTATTATAGATTAATTATTTTGTGTTTTAAGTGTTACTTCCTGTCTGTCCTGTTGATTGTTTACCCTACCCAGATACATTTGTGTCTTCCTGGATTTAAATTTCTTGCATTTATGGGTCCTTCCTTGTGTTCTGTGACAAAAGATTATGACACTGACATGCTTGAAAAATATACTTTACCCTCTGAAGTGCAAGCAATTACCAAAACAAATCTAAATAAGGGATATGAGTAAAACGGCTTGATTTCTCCAATGTTGCTGAGGTGAACGGAACGATCCCCGGTGAAGAACGATAATATATACATGGCAGTGAAATCACAAAGAAAGATAAAGCCGACACATACTTAAAACATTTATTGCAGTAGCTGTATACCTGTAGAGTAACAAGGAGTAACTGTTTCAGCATCAGTGAAGTCGAAACACCCTCACAAAATGACAAACATACTGCAAGAAGCAAACCACTCCATCCCACGGAAACTCTTCTAATCGTTACGGAAACGTGACAGTGCTTTACAAACCCAAAATGCACAAATCAAACTTCCATCAAAAAAATAAAATGACACACGATGAGCAAGTCCATTAAAAAAAAGCTATATCTTTTTAGCATGCTGTTTCCGTTGTGTAGTTAGCCTTCCATGCTGTGGAGTTAAGCAAAAGCAATTCAGACGGTGACGACAGACGATGCATGTTTGACCTGTTACTGTACATGCCACTGTGGAGAAACGGATAACTTCATTTTTCAATTTGGCAAACATTCGATGCATAAGGCTTTTAATCTTTTAATCCAATGTATTTTTTTTTTTCCCTATGGTTGCCAGAGTGTTGTTATCGTCAAAAACTAAACTAAATGTATAGCTAATGAAGGCACGGTGATAGAATGTTACTTAATTGTTGTCCTAATGCAAATAATGAAAATAATATTTACACATACAGCAGGTCAAGAAATTCCAGTAGATTGTACTGAAGGGCAGCTCGGTCCACACAACTTGAATAAAATCTATACAGTCTGTTAGATAAAACATTTAGCCATTTACAAATATATTGCTATTTAATTGTACTTCCAAAAAGTTGTTTATATGTGAGCTGTGTTCTTATAATGCACATTTTCCATAGTGACACCCTGGATATAAAAGTCCTGTTTAAAAACTTTTGCCAGTGATTTTTAAAGAAATACATTTTGATGGAACATGTGGGATGCTGAGTATATGAAGAGGCCATTTGCAAAAAAAGATATGTTGGTTTTTAAAATTGTTGTTGGATTCCTCTGAGGCTTATTATTTTCTTCTAATAAGATAAAACGTGTTAAGAAGCTAGTACTGCTTAATTACCATGTTTGGGTTCATCAGAGAAGAAGGAGAAGTGAGTCCCATGTGTGAGCCAAGGTGAAGGCCCCCTTGTCTCTGTTAATTGTCTGTCGCCTCTCGTATTCACCAGAACATGTCCGGTAATCAAGCTTTACTATCTCTCTATTTGTCTCATTAGAAGAACTTTTGAAAGTATTAAACACACAAATAAAACATAATGGATTTTTAAATTTGTATTCCTCTAGTTACAATCTTCAAAACGTTTTGTTATTGGCAGTAAATTTGAAAAAAAATTGCTCAAGACGGTCTGAAACTGTACATGTATGGCACTAAAATATACCTGGGGTTTCACCAAATGACTTGGTGAAGAGCAATTTGTGAGCTTTTCATATATTTTCTACTGTCACTTATCTGTTTTGCAAATTAACTATTCATATATCAACAGGGTGACCATTCGCCAAATACACACACAGCTGGAAAATAAATGTTGTATTCAAGTGAAAAAAACAACATATTGTCCACATGTGGGAACTGGTGGGAGGTTTGTGCATATCTTGTGTAGAGAAAAAAGGGTTGGATTTGTGTAAGACTACGGTCACCCTAAAACAATGTATGTTTAAATGAATCACAGTTCAAATGCACTGTTATTTTTTTGTTCATTATAAGATATGCCACATTTAACATTGTTGCAAAGTGAGTCTCCACACAAGCCTTTAAGATACCACTGCCTTATGCACATGGGATAACAGGTACGTGATAGTGGTTATAGTCCTATTTACAAACACACAGACGATGAATAGACAGTGTCCACTAACGGTGTTATTACCATAGAACAACACCTGTACGTCCATTTTATTTGATTGTGTCGATTAATATAGTCCTGGGATACTCAAGAACAACCACACCACAAATACGTGTATATATTGGTCAGCCATGGGTCAGTCTTTTTTTTTTCTCTTTTTCTTCATGGAATAATTTTAAAACTGTCAATACCCCCACATCGTAAAGCAGGATGTCTCACTGAAGAAATCCATCCGGGTTTGGTAAAAAGAGTTCCTATGTGAGCCATAGCAAACACTGCATAAGCACTAAAGTCAAGAAGCCTACAATCTTGTGTGGCTAAAACATGGCAAAAGCGTCAACGGAAAGAGGAAAAAAGACAGAAACGAAGATGAGCGGCAAAAGACCAGGCACCACTCGAGTCCGTCAGTCCCAGTGCGGCTTATAGCTGCTGGTCTTTGGGGCTGTCAGGGCAGGACGCGGGCTGACACGACTTGAGACTCACCAACGGAATATCTGACATCCCGCTGTTAGTGAAGTGTCCCTCACCGCTCCCAAACTGCTTCCTGTCTCCAAAATGCTCCGTCCGATTCTCGCTTTTCCAGGTCCGCGTCAGAGTGTGTCCGTTGATGAGTTTGTCTTTGGGACCCCATTCTCGCTGGGATCCGAAGTTGGACACTGGGGATTTGGGTTGTGAGTAGGATCCCATGGTGGGGGGCATCCAGCAGTTGTCGGAGTGTCCCAGGACGAGGCATTCCTGCGTGCACATCTCCGACGCCTCCACTAGGCCCCGGGGTCCCAGAGGCCCGTCTGCAAAACAGGAGAAAGGTCAAGGCGTTAGTCACCAATAAAACGGAGCTTGTTATGACCCTCTAGATCTGGGTGAAGCCGTAATAGCATCAATATATATGCCCATTACGTATCCATACACTGCTTGCATTTTATTGGGTAACGGCTCTTACGATACTAAAGAATGTAAGCTATTCATTCAAGCACAGGTGCAAATAAAACCGTGCCACGCTGCAAAAAACAAGTTACTGCAGTACGGTTTGACTTGATTTGAGAATATTTTGAAAACAACATTTGCCATTGGAACAAGAATGACAATAAATGAAAACTAATCAATTTCTTTCAGGGAGTGAGAACAAAAGGCTACAGTGTTGATTGAAACAAAAACAAAAAACTAATTGTGCTGCTAAGAGAGTAAAACTGTATTAAATTCAAGATAAATAGGAGATAAGATAACTTGTATTTGTTCCACAGTGGACAGCGGGAATAAAAAGAGCACTCTATGACAATAAGATTTGGAGTGCTCTTAAAACTAAATATAAACTCTTAAGGCTAAAGGTAAACCTTAGCTGAGCCATAGAACTACAGGTATAATTGCACATGGGAAAGGTAGCATGTATAGATTGCCCTCACAATGCATTTAGGGTTCCAGAATTATAATTACGGTAGCGACAACTGAGCAACAACTTTTCTATTGTAGTGTTGTTTTGTCTTGCTTTTTGACTATTTCATTCCAAATCCATTTGTCTGTATTGAATGAAAGAGGGGGTTGGAATTCTGCTTTTCCCGGACTCTTTTCAAACCATGCATGCACAAAGGAATGTCATTTTGTTTGATGGATTTATAATGCTCATATTCGGAAATGAACATCTTGATTGTGATAAACATACATTTAAAGGACAACCGCGAAAATAGGAAAAAAAAATTGCCACTGTATGGTAATTTCAGTGAAAAAAAAAGAACAATATTCCAAACGCTGTTTAACACTGTAAAATGCAAGTGATTACTAATATCTTTGTTTCTTTGTATACATTTTTGCAATTCTTGTGACTCTTTTAAGATTAAGGGACCCTTTATTCGTCCCACGGTCGGGAAATTTCAGTATCATATTCAGTTTTGGTATCAATGACAGAGACTAGTTACGCATACTGTGCATTTCGCAATCATCTCATCCATCCATCAACCATTTGGTCATTAACAGTGGAGCAGATGTGTGGCGATCTCATGAGGGTAATAACAAAAAAGCTGAATGTGTCCGCCGCGTAACACAGGTCCATATTAATGCGTAAAGAGGGAGACACAAACTAGACACTAATAAGACAGAGACTTCACTGCACTGGCACCAGCTAATATCACACTGTAATTAGTCCAGAAGTTCAGTCTTTTTTGCTTCTAATAAATACTCAGCTGTGCGTCTGAACGTCAAGTTGAAAATAATTATAAAAGACTCAAATGGAAGATATTCTTATTTTTCTCATAATCATGGAGTGTGGGCAAAAAACTGTTTTTATTTATTTTCCAAACTAACTGGATAGGGATTTGGACAGATGGTTTGCTACAGTGGCCAGACGCCATGTATGTGTTGCATCTGGCACTTTCTGCATTTTGGCATTTGAATGTCATTTTTAAATCTTAGTGACATTCAAATCTTGATTACAACAGAACAGTCTTCCAGAAAATGTGAGATGGGCTCTCTCTGTGTCTGCTCCATTTTCTCCTATACCACTAAAAATATCACAATAGGTATGAATGTATTGGTGTTTGGTCAGAGGCTGTGATGCACCAGTGTGTTCGGTGTCTCGCTTCCGTCATCACCGTGTGTGGAGAGAATGTAAAAATATCTGAACTTGGTGACCTTGGCCTATAAAAATGCAATATATAAATCACGATTACTCACTTGCTTACTACTCTGACAATGTTCAGGTCCAGGTTTAAAACAGTTTTGTTTAGTTGTGCATATGAAGGATTGTATATTCGCTCCTTGTAATGCACTGTGATTATTTATGATTTGATTGCCTTTGTTTCTTTTTATTTTAATTTCTAAAGCATTTGAAGCTGTCCTGTGTATGAACCCTAGACTGTATATATTAACGGACAGAGTCATGCCTATCTCCGCCGTTCTAACTAATGGGCCAAAAAATGTGCTCTACTGGAGCAATCCAAAATGGTTGCAAGTCGTCCCGCCCACAAGAAAATTGTGAAAAAACGCATTTGCGCATGCGTCAGCCGGCGAGAGCTCCATTCATTTGAACAGGAGACTTCAAAAATTTGCAGCAAGTAAACTAGAGTGGTTCAAAAAAATCCGCCCCCCTCAGCATTGACACACATGTGGAACAGAGCTTTGGGCCAAGAGCCAACTTTTGGACCATCCTATAAAGACGTTTTTGAGAAGTCTGCCAATGCTATATGTTAGCATTGGCTAATTCTACTTCTGGGTCCACCCCCATCGGCCCGGGGTGGTATTGCAAGCATGTCAGCGCACGTCATTTTGGCCACTTTTGAGCCGAAACCCGCCCCCACTGGTATGAACTGAACTGTGCTGAACAAATGAACGTGCCTTGCCTAAACACCACCAGGAAACTGTTTTAGTCGTTTGATTTCACAGTTTTAATTGTTGTTTAACCTTGTTGTATTTATGTACTTGTCTTGTGCATACTGGAGACTTTTCAACTGTATTCCAATGCGGTTTTACTGCAAACAGCCAAAATGAATCTGAATCTGAAATAGTTGTATAACATAGCATATTACAACAATAAAATCCTCAAATCGTTTTATACTGTGATGTGTCCTGACCTCCTGATTATCTACATTCCCTAAGTATTCGTGTTTATTTTGTGAAGGTCATTTTCCACAGTTGAAAAGCCGTGCTCAGTCTGACCTCTGCATCATAGAAAACAACACATGAAAAATAATTGGTTTGCTCTGCATAACATAATTCATCTGTACCACGGCATTCTTCTGTACAGTAATCAGAACATTTCTCCCTCACAACTACAGACCAGCTTTACACTGATGAGAAGAAAACCCACAGACAAAGCCTGTATTATGGCAAGTCTTGTGTGCCAGTCCATCAGAATAACAGGCAGAGCATAATTGGCGTGTGAAAAGTCGTACCAAGACACACATTATCATAGTTGCATGGAGAGAGCAATAATAGCGGAGCCCTGGAGACGCGCAGATGAATTTCTCAAATGAGATGTAGTGACATCTGGGGAGCTGTTAGGGCAGAGAATGTGAGGAGGGCACAGGAGCGAGAAGAAGAGCAGGAGACACATTACAGCCCACGGACGGACCATTCGGAGCCTTTCTGCCCGTGTGGTCAGCCCTGGAGATGATAATGGAGACGTCTGAGGTATTGTTAATGTGTTTGTTCAAATAATGATATGATAAAACTAACTTTACAAGCATGCTGGGGCGAAAACAGAATGCTGCCATTATGAAAGGTTGGTAGAGAAAGGTAGTAGTAAGTACGTCTTTTTTTTTTTTACATAGCGCCTTTGACAGACCAGAGTCACAAAGCGCTTTACAATTGTTGTGGCCATTTGTCTCTTGCTCCACACAGAGATGGGAGCGAGGTTGCTATGCAGAAGGTGCATGCCAGACTTTTTTCACTTGCTCTTAGTGGTAGGGGAAACCAGAGCACCCAGAGGAGATCTACACAGACACAGGGAGAACATGCAAACTCGAACTCGACTTGTTGAATGAAACCCAGGACCTTCTTGCTGTGAGGCACAAGCGCTAATCACTGCACCACCCAATGATCGCCATTGCTGTGGCTAGGTCTGGCAATATTCAACACTACTGTATGTATTGTCCTATACTGAGTAGTTATCTCGGAGGACTCAAAGTTCGATATGCTAACACAGACAGTTCAAACACAAACATATAAACACATAGAGCCATTGGTCCATAAAGGGTGGATAATGTCCTTTAAAGTCCTGGATCATCACCATTGTCCTTGTGTGGAACGACAAAAAAGACCTTCAACTTCAGATCATTTTCCTTTGGTTTATGTCCATAACAGAGATGTCACAGTCACAATGGATATACTTTAGGAAACTATAGGAAGACAGACGACTGTGTGCAGGGGCATTAGTGGTCTGTGTGATTACAAAGGGATTAGGAAAGCATAAAGCCTGCACATGTATTTTTCAGCGTAAAAAGCTAATCTAGTCATTAATTTGTTAATCAAGTGCATTTTGTGCAGTGCTATTCCCCCAGTGTAATAAACATGACCATTTGCATGTAGATTGGTACAATCAGTGGTCCCAGTGGGCAGCGGAAGATTATTTGAATCAGCCATTTTCTTGCTAATCTCCACATACCTGCTGCTGCACACAAAGCCTGATTCAAAGACCACTCGAGGTATAGCAATTTGGGCTGAAAAATGCCTTGGTATACAACTTAATTATGCATCACAGAGGACACTGATTATACGCCAGAGTGTGGTCTGGTGGAGAGAGGATATTAGGCTTGGGTCGTTGCAGCGATAGGAAATATTTATATGTGCAATACAAAGCACTCTCTAGCGCAGGGGTGCCCAAAGTGGGGCCCGCGGGCCAAAGTTGGCCCGCCGGACCATTTCAGTTGGCCCGCCTAACATTGCCCACCTCCTCTGTAAATTTCTAACTGCGTCCCTCAGCCTCGCTGAACAAACAGTAACATGTCTGAGATCGCACAGGCGCACCAACACCCTCTGAACCACGACTGTCCAGTACTTTACTGTTGTATCGAGATACACTCCTCACTCATGGTTCACATCTACTTGCACTAAAATGTTTTTTAAAATCAAACACATCTTTCAAAACAATTGGGTGCAAGGCACCTTTATGTTCTTTTTTTTCAGCCTACTATTATAATTTTTTTGAGCAATTTAATATTTTATCAAATTGAGAGGATTGTGCTGGCGAACTGCCACTCCCCCTCCTCACCGGAGGGAAATGGCGAGTGGAACTATTCACCTGCGCAATCCGCACCCAC